GTTCGCCATCCCTGCGTAAATACATGATTTAAGTACAAATACAAATTTGAACTTTTTCGTACCTGAAATCCTTATAATTTCCAAACTATTTGTACGATCATCTCGGGTTTGGTCTCTTTCAATTCAGGGGGGGGGAATATAACATTAGAAAAAAAATGCCTCAATTGTCCGTTCAGACAAAAATTCAATTCTCACCCTAAAATCACCCTATTTCCTTCAAAAAAAGGGAAAGCCTACAATGAGAGTTGGGTTAATTTAAAGGTATTATTTATATAATAGTATTTTTTTAAAAAATATCTTGGGTATTATCTTTTATAAAGAAACACTTTTATTTTTTTTTTGTGCTCTAATTACTGGACTATTGAATCAGAGCGAAGAAAATGTATATGTTACATTCAGAAACAAGTTCCTGAGTGAAAAGAAATAACGGGCGAAATCAATGCTCTAGGAGGACCATATCTGATTTTTAAAAAAACAGGAGCAAATGTAATATGGAAAAGAAGCTATTAATCTTGACCTTTTTCTTTCTCTTTTTTTTATATAACGGTAGGTGAAATTTGCAACACATCACTAGAAATGAATTTTCTGAACAAGAATTACAACAAATTACTTTCAAAATTCTGTAATTAAAACTTTTTTAGTAGATATTACTAAAATTAATATAATGTCATACATGTTAATCTGCTCTAAAATCTTTATGGGAAATATTATGAGAAGAAAATCAATATATTTTTTTAGACGTAAAGACATATTAATTTTTAGTTATAAAGGCTACTTTCCAATGAAATTTATAGACAGAAAGTCGTCGGTTTTTCCCCCTCTTTGTTATTACTAGTTTTATAATTTTTGTGTGTGTTTTGTTTCAAACAGTATATTAATTTTGGAACATTTTTATTCACAAAACCTTTTTATTCTCTAAAAATAAGGGTGTAACCACAGAGTTGAAACTTTACTCATATTAACTTACCTTTTTTTTCTTCTTCTTATTTTTCCATTCTTTTTGGATTCACAAAAATTCTTAAAAGAAAGAGCTAAATTTACAAATTAAAAAATGAAATTTGAATATTTAAGCATTCATGCTGATAATATTCTCAGAATTTGTTTACTTCAGCTTCTCCCGCCAATCATTTGCAAGTACAATCCAGAGTTTATGTATATATAATTAAAAATAATTTTTGCGCTAATGCGCTTTTTGATTTATGCTGCCTACTTTTAGAAAAGGGAAAAAATCAATGGAATGGATATAAAATGTAATAAAAAACATTATGTACTCAAAAACAAGAATGAATAAAAACTCAATTTGAATAAAAAATCTAATTTACTGGCAACGTAGAGTTTTGAAAAGAAGAAAGAAATCAGTCAATGAAATAACAAAGCGAAGATTTTTTTAATAAAAATTGACTCAGCGAATCACAGACGTACTTTATTTATTTACAGTTTAAGTGTTGTATTGTTATTTCTAATACCACTTGCCAAATACCAGCAAGCCTGCTTGGTGAAACCAAACGAATTTAAGGCAGAAGGTTTGCTTCTTGTTTCTTGTTTTCCCATGGCGCCATCTGTGGCCAATAATTCGACTTTCACACATTCAAGTCACAGCTCGTTTATAGGGTAGACACGTTCATACATCCATTCATTCATTCACAGATCGTAATTTTTACCTGAACCGGAGAACGATCAATCTCCAATTCAGTACAACCAGAGGTATTGATTTGTTATGGGAACATGGAAGACTTTGTGACCCAACAAAGTTAACGGGTATCAGTCACCATTTACTATACGGGGAATGGGGAGGATCGAACTCACGAACCCTTCAAGGACATGGGCCCAATGCCTTACCAGCTGTTTAAATTAAGTGTTTAAAGGAAAAATGGGGGTAAGGTTAATCAAACTTTGAATTTTTGGAAATTAAAAAGTTATCGACGAGTGTCCCAAGGAACACAGGGCACGGAAAATTGATGATGGTACCCAGTGGATAAAAGGAATAAAGGTTGTTGTCAATTCTCTATTCAATGCAAAATTAACTTTACTTTAAAAAAAAATAATTCAAAAATAATTTTAGTTTTCAATATGACTTTTAATAAAATAAGAAAGTTTTCTAATTTAAATAGAACTGAAAATGGAAGCCAAAATTCTAACCATCTCTTGAATGTCTTGCTAAAAAATTTCACTAAAAAATTTTTTACTGTTGTGTAGTCTTTCGACTCGAAATAAGCATAAGTTTTATTCACTCATTCATCCCACGTCCCCCCCCCCAAAAAAAAAATTCTATTTAAGCTTATTTTGTGCCAATTCAGCAACATTTTTTTTTAATAAATTTGCTCCCTCTCTCCTCTCTTTTGTATTATAGAAATTAATTCATTTCTTACAATACTAAATTCGTTAAGTATTTTCTGTTGAATCCTGGAAAAGTTTAGGTCTGAATCCCTGAATTACAGTTTCTTTAATTTTAATAAATATTTTCGATTTAATGAATTTAAAATATTCTTTCTACGGATGGTGTTTTCTACACTAGGGAGCGCTGCAAGCTCGGGACTGCCTAANTTTGAGGAACAGTAAAATATGCAAAGAAACTAAAGTAGGATTAGAATTTGAGATAAAAACGATTGTTATATTTATCTCTCATCTCTTTAACTCATTCGACAACTTTACAATAAGGTAAGACATTGATTTTCTCGATATTTTTTATGATTTTAAAAATATATGCCTAATAATAAATGAGTAATGTTTAAAATAAGAATTAAATAAAAAAAAAATTTAAAAAAAAAGGAATAAAAAAGCTTGTTTAATTGCTGTTAAAACTTTTTATAAGAATTTGTATGAAAAATACTTTTTAATTTTGTTATAAATTAGAACTACTGAATTTCAATTGCGAGCGGTATAAACAAAGCCGAAAGGAGCAAGTGAGCAAGGCGGGGCCATTAACTTATTTAATTCCTCCTTTTTTTTAAAGTATTGTTTGGTTTAAAAACATATTTACAGGTTATTTTGTTACTTTTTATTAATCATATATTCTTAGGGTAACCCGTATTTTCCAGGGAGGAGATATTTATGGTTGATCAGTAGAAATTTATGGTTCAGAAAACCATCCAACAACAAGCCAATATTCTCAAAAAATGAATGCAAGAGAAAAACAGGCGGAGGAGTGCCCTTGGAAAATGACCATGAGCTCAAATTTTGTGTCAATTGAGTCTGTGTGTCAAACGCACTCTTAAAATAATGTGAATATACTGATACAAATCTCAGTATTTTAAGTAAAACATACTTCTATTTCGACTCAAAATGTAATTTAAATTTTAGTTTTTCAACCAAATTTCGGCTGATTTTTTGAGAAATTAGGACTATTTAGAAACAGGACCAAAAGGTTAATTCCAAAGATAATTATACCTAAATATTAATAAATTTTGATTTTAGAACAAGAAACATTTACAATTTTACAATATTTTGCTTATTTTGTTGTTTGATATAAATTTAAAATAATTATTAAAAGACTTTTCTGGAAACAAAAGTAAGACTTTATATCTCTAAAAATATTTGCTAAAAGCAGGCTCGATAACTTCTAAACTCATCTGATTTATCCTTATCCATTATTGTTGTATTTGGCGTTGCACGTAGATGTTTAATTGTTTATTTTATTACATATAGTTTTATATACTAGTATTAGTCTGACTAGAGAAGATGTAATCTTTTCCAAACGTTATTTGATAGGAATAATCATTTAATATTTTGGTATTACTGTCCGGTTTTTTTAAATGTGTTTTGTACTTTTATGCGAGGTAATTTTTAGTTTATTTCAAGTGTTTTTTCTTTCTTTTTTTAAAGATAGTATATTTCTTAAACAATTTATTACTAGTACGCTTGTCACTTCGTCATGAAAACTGTCATCAGGAACAATTTCAATTACACCTAGTGAATAAAGTAAGAATAAGGAATAAAAGAATACCAATCAGTGAATTGGTGAATTAATAAAAAGTCAACAATAAACACTAGTGAATTCGTTAAAGAGCGAATCATTGCAGGGCATTTTAGTGAATAGTCGGAAAAATAATAATGCGAAAAATTTTCGTTTTTAAAATGTTTCTTAACAAAATGGCGACACATTGAATGCAAATCAATAAAATTGAATATCGAAAATGAAACATCTAAAAATCTAACTGAAAGTCCCTAAAACTCTAAAACCACTAAAACTCTAACTGAAACCACTAAAAAGAGTCTATAAAATTGTTTGGCGACTGCTAAAGAACGAAAAAAAAAAAGATTTCAATGTTTATGCTAGAGTGCCTGTATTGAAAAGAGTGATGACAATACCCAAGAGCGCATGCGCCGCCGTCNATATATTTGTCGAATGCTTGAAGTGATATTAACATCAATTAAACAAACAGTCTTTATTTTTTAACTTTCAATGCATTAATTGTAATTTATGTTGTTAGCATGTTTCCCAAATCAACATTTAGGATTGATATAGATTTTAGAATTAACTGACAGTAAAATTGCAATTTAAAATAGATTAAATAAGATTTTTTTTTTCAAAAAAGAAGATTTTTTTCTAAAATTGTGTTATGGCCGCCGTTTTTAATAGCACTCGGGGCTCAACAACGTCTTCCGCTGGCAAAAGCAGAATTTTTCTATTAGGGAAAAAAAATGTTATTTAAAATTTGAACTTTTTTTTTCAAAATAAAACAATTTGTTATAGATCGAAAGATTTTTGCGGTCTTTTTCAGGTAGATGCTTGTCCCGAGATTAAGTGTGTGAAAATCGTAGTGGTGATAACAGTTCCAAAGTTGCTGTAGTTTGATTCTTATTGGTTCTCTTTAGTTATAAGCATTTGACATTTAACTTTCAATGTTTTAGTGTAATAAAACCTTTAATCTCAAAAGGGCAAATTACTCCAAACTTTAGATCCTGGAAAAATTCAACCTTTAATTTTTTTAAACAATTTCATTTTAGAAAAATTAGATTTCTATTTCGCAAAAGAAGTGGATGAAATGCGTCTTAAGTTTTTCTTATTTTTCTTCATAGATTTTACTTCAGTTTGGCAACCGAAATTTCCGGTCTTTCTTCATGATCCGCTTTTAACCGCGGTAGGCAGATTTTCTCTCTCATTTATTACTACAGTGTCAAGAAATACTAAATCAAGATGGTAAATATGACAATCTGTTTTAATCATTAATTATATCTTGTATAAGATAAATTTAAATTAGAAAATGGTATGATATTTCTGTGTTTTATATCATTTTGCCAAAATTGTTCTTGTCAAATTCTTATTCGCCATATTACTTAAGTAAATTGACCTGGTTATGTAATTGTTGTCGTGTTGTAATAAATAATCAATTCTTCTAATTTGTGTCGTTATATATTTCAAAGAGTGTTAATATTTACTTTATATAAGTTATAAAAATATGAATTCCTTCCTCTCGCCGATACGTACGTGGCATATTTTTAATATGGGCCATTGTTTTGTTGGTCAATGACACTACAAACTAAATACTTATGTCACGTAATTGCTCTATGAATTTTAATTAACAATATAATTCTTTAACATTCTGAGATGTTAACCTTTTGTTTTAAAAACAAATTTTGTTAATTGATGTGGCATAGATAATAACCCACATCTCAATGAAAATTTTAAAATTCCAATATCGAGGTTTATTATTATCACTGCTGCTTTGTGTTGCTCTCTGGAATAGTCTACTTTCTGTTTTGTGACAATGCTTCAATTGGGTATAATATATTTAATATATTTATTCTGCTTAACAGTAAAGTGAGACCTACATATTTTTAATATTAATGATGTTTTACCTTTATGTACTTGAACTTTTTGAGAAAGTACTTAATGAGTAATTTTATCTGTACTAGCAGGTGTCTCTATTATGAATGGTACCTCCTTTAAAGTTCACAAGCTTTCTCTCTTTATCATATTACGTCAAGCTTAGCTTTCATTTCAGCATTTTAAATTTCATAACTGGATGGGGTGTTAAAAGATAAACTTGACAAGTGGCATATGTTTGTCTTAAATATAAATATTCTAATGTAGCAGCTGACAATATAAAATATTTAATCAAACATTGTTTTTTGTCTGTCTTATGAAACTTTTCTGTTTTTTTAAAAATGCAAGTAATAAATTACAAATAATGTACTCAATATAGTTTGGAATAGTTTTTATTTATATCAGTAATGTTTAAAATAATTCCTAACTTTAAAATCTGAATTGAGTATTAGTATTCCTAAAAATCAGCAAATAATGTGAAACAGGTTAACATGAGAGGTAAAAGGTAGACTGAGATATAATTGGTTTTTATTGCATTGAAATACAAATGACTCTTTTTGGAAGAGAAATGAAAACAAGTTATTTTTTTGGATTTTGGTTACTTATCTATTATAAATATATTTAAATTGACATATTGTGTCAAAATATTTTAATTATAATATTTAAGTTACTAATTTAATTAGATTTTTGCTGCTTTGACATTTATTAATTTTGTTTTCTTTAAATTCAGGTCCTAGCTTTGATATTTAAAACATTATTTCTTACTGTTTTCAGTCTTAGTTTTTAATGTTTTGGAAAGATTATTTTAATTGTATAGTTTTTTTCCCAGAATTTTTTGACTTATTAACATTTAAGGCACGTTTGTAGAGAAGTTAAAATATCTCCCAGGCCACTGTAATGAGGATTAAAATCAGACTCAATTCCATCAATTAATCATTCTCATTTGTTTTTTAAATTAATTTATTCTTTAAAAATGTAACTTGTTTGGTTAAGAAAAGTTAATTTGTAGGCTATTGTCAAGAAAGATTTTGGTATCAATGACCTATAAGTTTCTGATTAACAACATAAGACAGTACCCGTTTGACAGTAAGACATTTTTTTTTTGCAAGCTTTGAAGAATTTAGGCTTCTTAGCCATTGTATTTGGCACTAACAGGCACTGAATTTAAAACATCCCTTTATCATGTTTGATTTATCAATGTAAAATTTGAAAGATAAATTGTATCATTTACTCTCACTGCTATTGTTGAAAATATGCAGCATATTTTGTAAATTATTATAAATATTTTACTTGCCTAAAATTTCTGATCTTTTTCTATTTAGGTAAATTTTACTGTAGACGAAATTCGTGGTCTCATGGACCGGAAGAAGAACATCCGGAACATGTCAGTCATTGCTCACGTAGATCATGGTAAATCAACTTTAACAGACTCTTTAGTTGCCAAGGCTGGTATTATTGCTGGTGCCAAGGCTGGTGAAACAAGATTTACAGACACTCGTAAAGATGAACAAGAACGATGTATTACCATTAAATCTACGTAAGTTTTTAATGTTTATGTATTCAGCATGTTTTAACTTGTCAGCTTGTCTTAATTTCAGATTTAAAAGAAAAACTAAGGGATTAAGTTATAAGGACAAACTAATTCATAATAACAAATTCAGAGTTATCCAATATTTCAATATTGAATTTTAGTTTCATTGTCTAAAGTTTACTAGCTAAAAAATATTCCTTATAAATTTTTAATTAAAGCTTAAGTTTTTATCGTGCTGTTTGAAGATCTGTTCATTGAATTATGTTGGCTTATGCTTTTGGGAGTATATCTGATGAGTGCAGAGAAAGTGACGTGACAACCTTTTCCTGCATCTGGAATTGAAATTGTTACTACACAGCAATAAGTAACCACTCTAATGTTAAGAGCGATACCAGTAGTCATTGTTTTTCTCGATAAGCTTACAACCTCAATATCATTTTTTATGTCTGGACCTAAAACATCAAACTTGGAGCATACATTGTTTAACAAACTCCCCATCTTGAGAGATTTATTATTTTTAGCAATATCGTATGCTACAATGTAACTTGCAGGCATAGCTGCAAAGCATAGCCGCTTCTTGGACACTGTTTATCTTGATGGAACTTTGTTGGCCTGATAATTCTTAAAAAATACTTCTTGCATTTTGTCTTTCACATTCAGGCGTTGCTTCATAGTTGGCATTCTTGTGCTTGGCTATAAAATGTCTATTAATGTTGTATTTAAAAACTGCTACAGCTTCATTGCAGATAAGACATACTGGTTTATCTTTTACAATTGTGAAGAAAAATTTCCAAATCCATTCGTCATTGAACACACGGCATTCTGAATCAACTTTGCGTTTTTTTGTAACTCTTTTATACATTTAATAATTCACCATTATGTACAGTATCATGTGTGCAATCTTTCCATATGCAATGTTAGAACTCGTGTTGGAAAAAATCTGCGGCTCCTCTAGAAAGACAAACGCTCGTTTGGACCGATCTGCGACTATTCTATAAAGAACTTCTGCCAGTTTTCTTGTAGTTCTTTCTTGAGTTGAGTAATATTATCAAATTAGTATATGCAATGATAACAGTGTTTTTCATCATAGAAAAAAAATGGGTGAGAATTTCTCACCCTTTCTCAGAAACAGGATGAGATTTCTAAAAATTAAAAAAACACAAACTCTTGGAAAAAAAATCATATTTTTAATTAAAACACATTTTTAATGTCTTCTATTTTTTAAAGCATTGAATATTTTTGCTGCATCATCATAGAAGATTTTGCCTTTACAAGATATTTTTCCATCTTACATTAGTGCATAAAAAATTTGAACGTCTTACATGAAGAAACCTTACGGTAAACACGGTTGCGGAGAAATGTGTTCTGAAAGGGGTTGTGTTCTGTTGTTGGAAAAGGTTCTGAACAATACTGGTAAATAGGGAAGCTAGATAACGAGGCAGATGTTGAAAATAATGAAAGATCAAGGAAGAAAAGTGAAACGGATTTTATTCTAAATGGCGTAATTCGAAGCCTTTTCCAAAATGCGAGAAATTCGCGAATTTTGAAATTAATTTATAGAATGCGCGAATTTCTCGCGGTAATNATCAAACTTTTATAATTAGGTCATTCAATACTTCATAATTGTAATTTTTCATTTCTCCCCCCCCCCTTCTCGAAACTCCAAAATGTCGGTAGTAAGTCCGTAAAAGTTTCAGGGGATTTTTTGGGGTCCCACAAACACCCCTGGAGTACTTATGTATTTTTTATGGATCTTTAATTCTTTTAGTAAAAGAATGTCTCTCTTTCAGTGGCATATCATTATATTTCAAGTTAGATGAGAAAGATTCTTTATTTATTAAAGATGACCAACAGAAAGAAAAAGATGAAAATGGTTTTTTGATTAATCTGATAGATTCTCCTGGTCACGTTGATTTTTCATCTGAAGTTACTGCTGCCTTGAGAGTTACTGATGGTGCTCTTGTGGTTGTTGATTGTGTTAGTGGTAAGATTCCTCACTTCATTCTTTGCTTTATGTCATTATTGTAATAATAATTAGCCTTATGTTTGTGGCTAATAAAAATTTACTTTGTATAAATTTAGCTAATCAAATTTTAGGTTGTGTTGGGAAAAATTTACTAAGCTTGTTTTTTTTTTCGTATCTCTAAAATCATATTGAAATTTCTGTTATAAGTACTAATTAAAAATAGTAAGTAAGCCCTTTTTTATGGTTTCTTCTTAGTAACCTTGTTCTTGTTTATCTATATTGAAAATTTAAATATTCAGACTTATAATAAATCTGAAGAATTTCTAATATGGATTTAATTTCTGTTCTATAATCTGAAGAATTTCTAGTATAGATTTACTTTCTGTATTATTTTATTGGAAGAATAAGCTATAAGTGATTTATCTGAGTAACAACAATCAGCCAAGTTAACCAATATTTTGTTGCTAGCATAGTCAGAATGCTAGTATTGTGTCTATTTAGAGTTTTAGTATTTCTTAAACTTTGTATTGTCTATCTAGGTGTAAGTGTACAAACTGAAACTGTCCTTAGACAAGCAATTGCTGAACGTATTAAGCCAGTATTGTTCATGAATAAAATGGATTTAGCTCTCTTAACTTTGCAATTGGAACCTGAAGACATGTATCAAGCTTTTGCTAGAATTGTTGAAAATGTTAACGTTATAATTGCCACTTATTCTGATGAAACTGGACCTATGGGCAATATCAATGTAAGTCCAAAAAAAGTTTATTTTTTCTTCTGATGTAAAAAGATAATCTCAGTATTATAGTTTCCTTATTTACATTGTATTTTTCTTTTTAACAGCTGGATCCATCTAAAGGAAATGTTGGTTTTGGGTCTGGTCTTCATGGTTGGGCTTTTACCCTAAAACAGATTGCTGAAAAGTATGCTGAAAAATTTAAAATAGATGTTGAGAAATTAATGAACAGGCTTTGGGGTGAAAATTTCTACAATGCAACTACCAGAAAGTGGGCTAAGAAAGCTGGTGAAGGATACACTAGGTCTTTTGTCAAATTTGTTTTAGATCCTATCTACCAGGTGAATGTTCTATAACTTTATTTGAAGTTCTCTAAGTATTGAAAAGAGCAAGGTGCTTTTAGTTTATAAAAATGTTTTAAAAAAATTTATAAAAATGTCCGAAGATAAATGGTATTTTTATCCAGTAAGTTTAATGCAATATTAGTTTAAAAATTGATGAATAAAATCAGTTTAAATTTTAATCTCCATTTAAAACTAACTTGAAATAATGACAAACAAGCATATTTAATATTAGCATAAGACTATTATATTAAATTACATCTTAGTAAGGGAATTCGTGAATTCGTTTTATTACTGTAAATAAAAATTCTAGTAAATGAAAATTCATGCCTTTTTCTTAAACTAATGATTCAAATGCTTTTTATAATTAATTTAAATATTCTCTTCTAAGGTAGATTGCTTTTGCTTATATCTGTTTTTTACAATTTGTTTCAGTATTTCGATGTCCAAGTTAATTAAATTTATGTGAAGGGACAGTTTTTGTAATAAGGGTGAAGAAAAATGTATTTTACTAAGTCAGGTATTTTAAAAAAAATGAACAAACCAAAATGTCCTAAAAATGAATAAAATGTTTGAGGTACACTGTATTGAGTTCCAAAAATAATTGTACTTGAATTAGAGTTTAAGTACTAAATTTAAATTATCTAACATTCTGAAGTTTTTGTCAATGCAATATTGCAGGTATTCAATGCTATCATGAATTACAAAACAGAAGAAATAGCCACATTGTTAGAAAAGATCAATGTTGTACTGAAAGGAGATGATAAGGATAAGGATGGCAAAAACTTGTTGAAGGTTGTTATGAGAACTTGGTTGCCTGCTGGAGATGCTCTTCTTCAGATGATAGCCATTCACCTTCCATCACCTGTCACTGCTCAGAAATACAGAATGGAGCTTCTGTATGAAGGACCTCATGATGATGAGGCAGCTGTTGGTATGGCTTTTTAAAAAAATTGATTTTGAAATTTATAAGATCGAGTAATTATTAATTCTTCGTTTTTGCATCAAAATTTAAATATCCTATCATATTGCACATTTTTTTTTGAAACAAGTAATGAAGGGCAATTAAAAAAAGTCATCTATTTATTTGAATATTTTAATCTTTAATAGATAAGTATTTCAATGTTTCTTGATAGATAAGTATTTTAATGTATCTTTACTGAAAGCTGTGTATTCCTTAGATCAAGCGATCAGTTCCAGGTTGTTTGTTTTTTTAAATAAAATAAAATCTAAGGTCAGCGCAACAGCCCCTTGCAGGCCTTGGCTGCCTCAACAGCTGGCAAATGCCAGAGCCTCCTATCCTTGACAATTTCTAATCTTTCGGGGTTTTCAGGTCATTTTCAATGTCATTAAGCCACCTGGTGCGGAATCTGCCAATGGGGCATGGCCCCTGGGGGGGGGTGTTCTTAAAGGTGTCGATTCTCATGGCGCTATTTTCAGGGATGCTCCATAGATGGCCTGGCCATCTCAGCCGCCAAAGATTGCTCTGAGGATCTTTCTTTCGAAGGTTTCCAGTGTCTGCTGTCAATGTCCTCTGTCCAAAAAACACTTGTTAGCCATTTTAACTCAATTGTTGATTTCTGCTCTAAGTATGTTTTAATTGTTAACAGTACCAAGGTATTTGAATTCATTAACCCTTACAAAGGTATAACCATTAATACATAAAGGGGCACTTTAATTTACAGTTGAGGAGGAAAGTTCCATGAATTTCTTCGTAAATAGACACGAGGCCCATTTGTGGCAGCAACTTCGAGAGCTCGAAAAGCCTAATTGACAGCCCTTTCCAGTGTTTTCATTACAGAAAGAAAGTGGGTGAGAATTTCTCACCCTTTCCCAAAAGCTGGGTGAGATTTCAAAAAGTTAGGTGAGATTTCTAAAAATGAAAAAAAAACATGAATAGACTTGGAAAAATATTTCTTTAATTATAAATTTTTAACATCTTCTAATTTTTAAAGCATTGAATATTTTTGCTGCATCATCGCATGGAAAATGTTCTATATCTACTTTTTCATCAGCTATTCTCATTAGGTTGCTCAAATGTGCTTATCAGTCAATCTGTTAAAATATTTTGTCTTAATTCAGTTCAGGGTGCTAAATGACCTTACAACAGATGCTGAAGTATTCAGAATCACTGAGTAAATTTGTAGCGTTGTGCACACACTTTCCTATCCTCTTCACCTGCCAGTATAGGCTTTTCAATTATTTCTACTATATAGAATAGTGAAGTTATTTCTATGTTCATACTTCATGCTAGTATTTAATCTGTATCCGTTGCATATTGTTTTGTTTTGACCGTTTCTACCGACATTTGTTTCATTTTCATTTGTCCATTACGGACTAGAAACCTTACCTACGGTTAACACGTGGTTGCAGAAAAATGTGTTCTGAAAGCAGGGATGAGATTTTTCCGCTTTTTAGCAGATTTCCGTTTTTTTCACTTGTATCTCTTAACTTTCAGCTTTTTTTATCAAAAATTCAGATTTTCTAAAAATTTAATTTTTTTAATAAGTATTCCGCTTTTTCAGAAAATTCGCCGATTTTCAAAGAGAAGCAGAAAATTTGAACTACATAGCTACCAATCCTTTCTCATTTTTACTTATTTTACCTATTTTCTCCCCTTTTACACGCAGCAGATAAGATTTTCCGAATTTTTTTTCCCGCCCTTCAGATAGATCCGATTTTCGTAGTTCAAACGACGCTGGCTTCTGACAAGCCTTTTTAGAGGTCCCAAGCCTGGCATCTGCTAATATCTCGATTCTTATTCACACGATTTTAATATCAAACATAGCTTTTCAAATTTGCGTGTTGCGATTCTTATTCACGCGATTTGAATATTGTACGTTGCGATTCTTATTTACGAGATTTAAAAATCCGATATTGTGATTCGTATTTATGTCTTTTTGAAAACCTATGTAGCGATTCATATTCACGCAAGTTTAAAATTCAATGTGTAGATTTGCTCATGCGGTTTATAATATCAAACATTAATTTTCGTATTTATACTTGATTTTAAAGCAAGGCATTGGGATTCGCATTCACGCATTCTAAAAGTTATGCATCATAATGCTTATTTATGCAATCTAAAAATTACGCATCATGATTCGTATTTATGCGATCTAAAAATTATGAATCGTGATTTGTATTTACGCGTTTAAAAAATTCGATATCCCAGATTGTATTTTCTCATTTTCAAAATCGTATATCCAGTTTCATATTCATGTGATTTCAAAATCCATAATTGTTATTCATATTCACGCAATTTTAAGATAAACTATCTCGATTCTTGTAAGAAGAAAATTTTTTTTTAATTAGTTACTATAAAGGTGACTGTTTTTCTAACGACGATTATTAGTATATGTAAGTGTTACAACATCACAGAAACTGGAAGAGAATATATTCAAAACTTACATTCTGTGCTTGCAAAGAAGAAAATTAGGATTTGTCACAAGATGTTTGAAGTTGGACTAACGACTAAATATAGCAAACAAAAGCAATACTTAAAAAGGGATTTAATTAAAAAAAACAATTTGGGGGAAAAAGATCATCATCAAAATTTTATTGATAATTAGTGTTATTTATGCTATAAAATGCAGAATTCTTATCAAATAAAAAACAATTATCTAAACAGTTGCTGATTGTCATGTAATTTTTCAAACTAAAATAGCAATTTTTGTATGTTAAGGAGTTACTATATATTTCTACTTCACTGTTATTGATATGTTTCAGAGGGCTGTAGTTAGATTAGACTATAATATGAACATAATGATTCGGTCCATTGTTAAAGTTTTTCTTCTCCAATAAACAGTACAGAACCCGTTATCCGGAAATCAGAAAACCAAAAAACCGGAACAAAATTCGATAAATTTTCTCGCCTTTTTAAAAAAAATTTTTTTTTTTCCTCATAAGTTTTTACGATTTTTCTTTCTTTTTTTAAAGACCTTACCATCATTTTGGAAATAATCATTAGTGTATTACTTTATCGTTTTTTCTTATTTTTAAGATTATTTCCAAATTTTTTTTTAGTTGGATTTAACAATAAAAAAAACGTCTTTTTGTAGCGATTCAGAAAACCGGAAAAGTCAGTTATCCGGAATAGCGATGGTCCCGACCGTTCCGGATAATCGGTTCCCTACTGTAATTTAAAAAGTAATATTACTGACATATTTGCTATAAATCACATAACATTATTTATTAAAAGTAATGAAATATTAATGTATATTCTCAGTAGTTTTAATTTGCTAAACCAGGTAGTTTTTCAAGTAATAATTGTCTCTTATGTGAACTGAGGGAAAATATAATTTCCAGCTTTGTTTTTTCAGTTGGTAATTTTTTTCTCACTAAATGTTAATTATCAATATAATCGTTTTTATAATAATAGATTAGTACACAATTGTATGTCAACACATTATTTATTACCTTAAACTGTCTGGAATTTATTATTAAAGGGTTGCGNACTAGAAACCTTTCCCCACGGTTAACACGTGGTTGCAGAAAAATGTGTTCTGAAAGGAGTTCGGGGGGGGGGCATTGTGTTCTGCTGTTCACACTGGTTCTTAACAATACTGGTAAATAGGAAAGCTAGATAACAAGGATCGATGTTGAAAATAATGAAAAATCAAGGAAGAAAAGTGAAACAAATTTCATTTAAAATAACAGAAGACTAAATTTTTTCCAAAATTAACGAGATTCGCTCATTTTGAAATTCATTAATAGAGTGCACGAACTTCTCCCGTTAGTAATTTTTTAATGCGAAAAAAGGAAAAATATGCTAGATTCTCGCTCTGTAGTGAAAGCACTGCCTTTCTGACCTTCCAATTATATCAATGTCATCAGCGTAGGCCGCAACTTTGAGACCTATTCCAGAGTGGCTCTTCCGTCCAGTCCACTATATGATACACTTCTCCAAAGCAATGGAGCTTTAATATCTGTAGAATTAAAATTTGAGATTTCTATATTCTAGTGCAGTAAATTTAATCAAATTAAAAAATATCTATTTCCTTTTTTAATGTATTTCTCATTCCTTATCAAATGAAACTTATGTCACTTGCTTAATAATATTTATAATTTCTTTTCTTCAGCTATCAAGGGTTGTGATCCCAATGGTCCTCTTATGATGTATATATCTAAGATGGTACCAACATCTGATAAGGGTAGATTTTATGCTTTTGGACGTGTGTTTTCTGGAACAGCTAATTCTGGTCAAAAAGTAAGGATTATGGGACCAAATTACATTCCTGGCAAAAAAGAGGACTTGGCTGAAAAGAACATTCAGAGGTAAAAAAAAAAGACAGTGTATTATTTTGCCTATTTTTTAAGCATTAGAAATACTTATTTACATTTTAAACATATTTTCTGAGTTTAAAAATCTATTTGTTTGAAAGTTGTAAAAAATTTCATAAAACAGAGGTGATAGTGTTGTGGATATACCGCTAAATTCCGTGTTTTTTGTGTAGTCTGTCCTGGTCAAAACCTAAAAGCAGGGCACGGCACATTAATAGACTTGTAATCCGGTGAGTTTCGGAATCTAAATTTTTTGTTGGGCGAATTATGGTCATTTTGATTACTTGGAACTGTGTTGGAATCTGTTAATATTGCGATTCTTCATGAGATTAAATATCAAGCAACGAATTTCATCTATACCTCATTTAAAAGTTGCAATTTGCATTCACAATATTTAAAATTCATACGGCACTTTAAGTATTGGCATAATTTTAAAATCAATTTTACACATTGTATTCTCTCACTTGGAAAAATCCAGTATTGTGATTCGCATTCACACCATTTTTTAAAAATCCATTGTTGCTGCTTTTGTAATATTAAACATTGGCTTTTGTATCTGGATTTAAAATTTATGTATTGCGATTCGTATATCCCTATTTACGTAGTATAAAATTGAATATCAGGATTTGTGTTTTATAAAATCCAATAACACCAGAAGAACAAAGAACTTTTTGGTTCAACAAATGCTGAATGCCTCTTCACAGCTTTTTTAGTAGAATCAGTGGAAAACTTGAAAAAGATTCCCATTTCAGATATAGCAAAAAGAATTGGTTGTGGCAGAACTAAGATCTCTGCTATAGTAAATGAGATAACCAATGAACTGCAGAAATCAATTAAAAAAGGCTGCCTTTTTTATTGCAAATGACTGACTCAAAACTCCATCCATTAGTAGTAAAATTTTTTGATGAATCAATTCAAAGTTGTGTTTCAGCATTTACTATTATTAAAGATGGCTGTACTGGGGTTAATACTGCGAATGGTGTATTAGACAAGTTGCCTGTTCTATGGGCCTTCCCTTTCAGAAATATGTTTCCTTTGGTGCTGGTAATACACCTGTAATGATCAGTGTCAAAATATGGTGCACGAAAGTTTTTGAAAGATGTGCAAAATGAATTGATTATTACTGGATGCCCTTGTCATCTTCTTAGTTTAGCTTCACAGAAATCTATTTCTGAAATTAATTTTCCTCTTGACCAGGCAGTAATTGATTTTTTTTTCCATCTGGAATTTAGTTCTAAGATAAAATTAAAATTCTTTCAACTTTATGATATTGAAATGTGTAAAGTTTTAAAACATGCCCTGTCTCTTGGTCGAATTTTTGATCAGTAGGATCCTTTTCTCAGCTTCTTTCTCAGTGAAGTAAAAAAAAAAGGTTTGCCTAGTAGTCTTAAACAGAATAAAACACCAAAAGTAGCAGGAAAGTCTTTGAATATTAATAAGGCATTTTGCTCTTATGTCTTAATTGCCTCAGCGGACCTTGAAAAATTAAATACACTTTTGCAAACAAGTTCACCTCTAATACATAATCTGAAGCAAATACAGTAGCGAACCATTTATCCAGGATGCTTGGAACCATCGCTATCCGGGATGTCTGAATTTCCCGGTTTTCTGGATCAACCGAAAAGTGTTGTTAATAGATGTTTTATCGAACACGAATTACAAGGAAAATGTGTAACACATTTTAAAGTAAGAGAGAAAAAAGACAAGAAAAACAAGCTTAAAAAATTCTCTTATTTATTTTTTAAAAATGATTACAATTCCTAAATTAACTAATATAAATAAAACCAATGATTAAATGACGCAATACATTTCTTACCCAATTATACCGGGGGGAAATGATAAAATAGAAGGAAAACTTATTAATCTAAATCAAAGCAACGAAAATTATCGAACCCGAAACGATCGTTAAAAAAGGCACCGACATAAATATTAAAGCCTGGAACAAGGCAAGATCAACAGAATTAAAAGAATAAAGAAAAACCTAATAAAATTTATGAATAAAAAGAATTTATAAGAGCAAAATTTATCGTGAAAAAAAATCAAACGTGGAATCAGAAAAACAAAACTGCAATCTGCTTCAAAAAATAATCGTATGTTTAAATTATTTTTATTTATAAAAACACTATTTTTAACGAAAGCAAATGTGATTCCACATCAAGAAAAACCTGAAAATGATACCATAGAATCAGAATTTATTCAAAAGAAAAATATTTATTTTTATTAATCGATGTCAAATAGAAAAATATATTTTTCTCTTTCATCTTCTGTTCAGTGATATGCATGTGCAATGCATTTTCCCCACCCCCTCAAAAATCAGAGAAAATAAAACATTCATCCCTTCCCTGCCTCCTTTCGATCAGCAGATTTTCAAGGTCAGAGAAGAAATGACGTTTCTCTGGGTAAATGGAAATTCTCCCCTTCCTCTACTCAACTTAAAGGATGAGTCAAGTTTCTGCATTTTTTCACAGTTTAAAATGGCGGGAAAACCAAAGAAAAATTTTTCCGGATAAATGGTTCTCTACTGTACCTACAAATCTATTGAAAACCATATATCTTTATTTTATTGATGTTATTAATTGTTTAAAAAATTTGAGTTTATTTAAGTCCCTTTTCAGGATCCTACTGTCCAAAAAGAGATGTTTTTTTTTCCACGCTCATATTATAATGGAATTGTTAAAAAGAAAATAGTTAAAATCCACCTTTTTTATACATTTATTAGTAAATAATACGCAGTTAGAATCTTTTAAATTTTTATAACTAGAGGATGGCAGCCATGCATATGTATGTTTAATTTATAATTCAAAATGTTAAATCAAGAAGCAATTAATTTATAATATAATGCAATGCCAATAAAATTTAAAATTTTTTATGCCAGATAAGCTATGCGAAAGGTAATTTACTATTTTTTATGCATCTACATTTTTTTCCACAGAACTGTACTCATGATGGGACGATACGTAGAACCTATTGAAAATGTACCTTGCGGAAATATCTGTGGTTTAGTAGGTGTTGATCAGTATATTGTAAAGACTGGCACTATTACAACATTTAAAGATGCTCACAACATGAGAGTTATGAAATTCTCAGTCAGTCCTGTTGTCAGAGTTGCTGTAGAACCATTGCATCCATCTGATCTGCCAAAACTTGTTGAAGGTCTAAAACGATTGGCTAAGTCTGATCCTATGGTGCAAGTAAGTAACAGTGGTTTATTCTTTTCACGTTTATATACAAATATTCTGGTACTTACTGTCTAACTGTGTTTTCACTTATAGTCTAGGTGTTTTTTAAATTAGTTTAAATTTTACCCATGTTCAGTGGGAAAGAAGTACTAACTTGATACTTATTTTCAATTTTATTCCAGTGTCACATTGAAGAGTCTGGTGAACACATTGTTGCTGGAGCTGGTGAACTACATTTAGAGATCTGTTTAAAAGATTTAGAAGAAGATCATGCTTGCATTCCACTTAAAAAGACTGACCCAGTGGTATCTTACAGAGAAAGTGTACAGTCAGAATCTGGCATTATGTGCTTATCTAAATCTCCTAATAAGCACAACCGTCTTTTCATGAGAGCATCACCATTGCCTGATGGTCTCCCAGAAGATATCGACAAAGTATGTTAAGCTTTGCTTACCTAAACCAATTTTTTTCAATTCATTCCTCTATGTTAACAGCTGAATTAATGCTTATATATTTCTTTATATTTAGGGCACTGTTAACACCAAGGATGATTTCAAGGCTAGGGCTCGATACCTTGCAGAAAAGTACGAGTGGGATGCAACAGAAGCTAGAAAGATTTGGTGTTTTGGACCTGAAGGCACTGGACCCAACTTGCTAGTAGATGTAACCAAGGGAGTACAATATCTAAATGAAATCAAGGATAGTGTAGTAGCTGGATTCCAATGGGCAACTAAAGAAGTGAGTTTTAAAATATAGTTTTTGTTTCTTTTCATTTGGCAATTTTTGTGACTCAAATTTTTCACCCTTTTTCTTTTAGAGTGTGTTGTGTGAAGAAAATATGCGTGGTGTCAGATTTAATATTTATGATGTTACATTGCATGCTGATGCTATCCACAGAGGCGGTGGTCAGATAATTCCCACAGCTAGACGTTGCTTCTACGCTGCTATGTTAACAGCTGAACCTCGTATGATGGAGCCTGTCTACTTGGTGGAAATTCAAGTAATTCTGTTTGTTACTTTTCTCATTGTTGGGGTAGTCTTATATTACTATTTCTGTTGCGTATGTAACCCGTCAATCTTGTCTTATTAGTGTCCTGAATCTGCCGTTGGTGGTATTTACGGTGTATTGAACAGAAGGAGAGGTCATGTTTTTGAAGAATCCCAAGTTGTAGGCACTCCTATGTTTATTGTAAAAGCTTACCTACCTGTAAATGAATCTTTTGGTAAGTTATATTAATCATATCCATTATATTGTAGCTTTTAATAATTAACATTCATTGTCTAAAATTAGTTCATATCTAATCTTGAATACTTATTGCATAATTAAGGGTTAAAAAAAAGATTCTTTCAAATAGCACTAAGTTATAATCTTCCTGCAAGTTTTATGTTTGAGGTAGACTAAGTTATCTGCTCCTTACATCATAAGCACAAAGCTATTGAAAGAAGCACAAGATAGTGTTGATTAAATGTCCGAAATTAATTTTGAAAGTAGACAAATATTTAATTGTTATGAAAGTTGGTTTAGTGAGGAAAATATATGCCTCAGGGTAAACTTTGAAAGAATGATTAGTAAATTTTTCATCACAATATTGAAAGTTTAATAAGTTTAATTTTAAAGTTTGTAGGTGGGTTTTGAAACAGTATTTTTGAAATTTAAGTGATTCATGAGTATGAAAAAGTTACTGTTATTTTTAGAAATATGAAACTATTTAAAATCTACTTATTAAAAAAAAAATGCCTAGATTCTTCAAATGATTCTTAATTTAAGGCAACACTGCCTTACTGAGGTTTAGATTGGAGTATGCATGGAAAAGTTGATTTCTAACTTTAAACTTGCTTGGTTAATTTGCAAAATATAATAATTACATGTTCTTTTGCAGGATTTACTGCAGATTTGCGCTCTAATACTGGTGGACAAGCATTCCCACAATGTGTATTTGATCACTGGCAGATCCTTCCTGGAGACCCCATGGATGGCAAATCCAGGCCTTACACTGTTGTCATGGAAACAAGAAAGCGTAAAGGATTAAAAGAATCACTACCAGAACTTGACCAATATCTAGATAAATTATAAATGGACTCTTAATTTAAAAAAAAAAACAAAAAAATCTAAACTAGACAGCTGTTATTTGTAAAGATTGGTGAATTGCGAGAAATAAAGTGCTGACTAGAACTTGTTCTTTCATTGTGCTAATATTTATACAAAGTATTATTTAATTGAAATGCTTGTGTTGGCCAGTAAGTAGTTAGCTCAGGCCTATAGTATTGCAGGTGTCTGAAGTTTTTTTTTTCTTGTAATTTTCTGGGTGATCCGTTAACTTATTAAAAAAAGTTCAACCTGATTATTTTAATCCTGTATTCTTGTTACATAAACAGTTACAAAAACTTGTGAATAGTAGTTTATGTTTGGTAGGATTGGTTGGGAGCATAGTTAGAACCAGTTCCTTTATGGTATCTAAATAATTTTTTTTCCCTACGACCTTGAAACTATTGCAGTTTATGCATTTATTAAACACCTGTTTTATAATGTAGAGGAGCTTGTGCCAGAACTTAGAATAAATTAGTCCTTATAGTTTATGTATCAAGATCCTTTCCCAGGTATGTATGGTCAAAAACTGCATTTTGTAGTTCTTGTATTCATTGGTGAATGAATAGCCTTAGTTTTAAGGCACTATGCCATGAGTTGACCATTTTAGTTTTGAGTATACTTTGCGATGATACATGTACGAATTTCAAATGCGCGTTATTAAATTTCGATTTGCACTTTTATAAGTGAGTGTTATAAAAGCCTCAATAAATCTGATATTATATAGCAGGGGTGGGCAAGCTCCTTGATAGTCAAGCCATTTTTCAAAACTTGGAATTTTCGCGAGCCGCAATTAAATACGTATTTAAAAGGTATTAATTTTTTTTTTTTACATAAATTATATTTATTGACAAGTACAAGATATTTGTATTGAATTTAAATATTGGACATAATTCTTTAAAATTTAGTGCATAATTGGTGACAGCACTTCTCCTTAATTCTTTAAGATGGTGTTTAGTTAATACTGATCGGTATTAGGATTTCATAAATTTTAAAGAATAAAATGATTCACATAAACTACGTTGTCCCTAATATTGAAATAAATAGACAAATAGTTTGAAATAAATAGTTTTCAAAATTCAGTAATTGACCCCGACTTATAGAGAACAAGAAAGCTCTACAATTAAAATGTAATTCTAATTCTCCCGATGCTTTTTGTCTCATAATTGTTTTGGAAAGGGAAAACTCACCTTGAATTAAACAACGTTGTCTTTCATATTTGTTCTCAGTAATTTAAAAGACATTTTGAAACACATACGGAACGATAATAATTAAAAAAATATAATAGCACAAATATGAAAAGGGAACTGGTACATTTATCGAGAGCCACAATAATCCTTCAAAGAGCCGCAGGTTGGCCACCCCTGTCATATAGTTTATTAACAAATCAAGTAGGCATTGGTTTTAGTTACTTATCGACTTTTTTCTCAACTCAATTTTCTCTTAAGATTTAACTTTTACAACAGACCTTTCATTGATTATATACCCTAGGAAGAAATTGGTACTGCAGTCTTAATATCAAAAGAATTAAGGATCTGAGTTGAGTAAAGTTGAAATCCATTTGGGTTTTGATGTGTGAGAAGTGGATTATTTAGGCAAAAAATAATTTACCAATTTAAAAAAATTTTTAATGGTCCTATATTGGCCAAGTCATTTATATTTCTCAGTTAACGTTGCAAACTAAGATGACTGATTAATGAAGAACAGGGCTGATAGTGCTCCGGAAAAAGTCCGGATTTTTTGCTAGCAGTGATCCGGAGATCGAAGGTCCAGAGGTTTCAAAAGTTTATCACAGTTTATTTTATTTGTTTGTAAGGGAGAGCCAGAGAGATACTTTATAAGCTTATATTAATTTTTTATCAGTAACATAATTGTAAATTTTAGTTACTTCTTCAGGTCATCATAGTTATGTGTAAATGGTATGGGTATGTGTAAAATTTTAAATATATTTTGAGTAACTAGTAGAAAAAAAATCTTGTTCAAATTCTTTTAAATTTAAACCGTATTTTTTTTTTAACTCAAGAAATTTTCTGGAATTTTGACTTGGACTCACAACAATCACCCCTTTAAGGGGGTTCGGTACCTCCTATGTTGACAATGTTAAAATGGCATATTTCGATGTACCTTTTTAAAAAAAGTATCGTAGTTAGAGCTTTGAAATTTTTTTTGTGTATGTAATAGATATTCTAGATTATACTGAAGTGAACTTTTTTTAATTTAGTGAATTAAAAGAAATTNTAACTTTCATTATTTTTTCTTCTAGATAAAATTAATTATTTTTTAACTCAAAATCCTTCAGTTTAATGAAATAAAATTGAGGAAAATAAGTTCATTTTTCTTTATTTATACTGATTCATTTTTATTTATATTTGTCTATATGTGAAAGCCTGAACTGTTTTGAAAGTTTTTATGTAATGAGTTGATCCCAATTAGAGGGAATGGTATATAACCTGGGATTAAGGTAGTTTTTTTTAAAAAAAAAAATTTATTATTAACTTCTAAAATATTTTCTTGAAATTTTTTTTTACTTAAGAAATGTAAATAATGCTAAACCCCTATCATTTTTTATTTTAACTTTGATAATTTTTTTTTGATAAAATTAATTTTTAACTTTGCACCATTGTTCTCTAAGAATAATATACTTTCATTTTAAAGCATAAAATAAGTAAAGTGATCTGAACAGCATTTCATAAACATTTTAATTCAGTATAATGAATTATTCATTCAGAGAAGCTTATCAATCAGAAAAACAATCTTATAGAATTAAATTACAATTAAGTTACTGTAAAATGGTCTTAGCAACAGTATAATGCAGTAGCTGCAGACAATTTGCGAATATTTTTTTTCACCGCGTTTGATGGCTTTGCATCAAATTTGTCTTTTTTCTCATTTTGGAATACTAAAAAACAATTTATTTGGCGTGTTTAACGTATAACTATTGCACATGGTACAATGAAACACTTGTAGTTTTTGCTTGGAGCCATTTTTCAGAATTTATACTCCGCGCAGCATATGCTTTCACCGTTTCACAACATGATGGGAGTCGTGGTTGTACTATACTGTGACGTCATCAGAGCGGATGGGAAACCTAGCAGCGATTTAGGGGACTGGGCTAATCGAGCTATTTTAACTCTTAATAACTATTTATCGCAGCGGTCTGAAATTGGTGTCTATCTTTATAAAATGGCATGATGTTTCATCTTAAAACATTAAAAAAAACAATGCCAGAAGTTTTTTTTTTAAAACCGTCAATTGTCAAAAACTTGAACCCTACCTAATTATATTTTTTAAGTGCTTATTTTTTGTTGAATAAGTTTGCTGCGCACCCTAGTAGTTTATCAAAAACCAAATTTCTAAAAAAATCCTAATCAAAATTTATACTATATATTGATTAAAGGAAATCTTAAATAAATAATAAAGAAAAAAATTTATACATTACAGATGAGATCATTTGGCAATAATCAAAAGATATGAAGTTATAATATATTTCATTCAGGGTGCATAGCGTTTTTAAAAAGTGCTTTTTTGATTAAAATTTTTTTAAAAGCCCTTAAAGGTGCATTTTTTATTCAGGGTTTGTAAAACGTGCTTACTTTTCTATCTTTAAAAAGAGATTTTTTCTTTGTCGTTCTAAATAAAAGAAATGCATGATTTTTACAATTTTCTCTGCAATATTTATCAGAAACTAGTTATTTTATCATGATTATGTGATGTTCGTAAAAAATTTTTTGAACTTTATTGATTTTATGTTCATAAATTAAGAAATTTAGATAGAAAAAAATTTATTACTGCACAGATCCTAACAGTTTTTTTTGTTTTTTGGAAAGTGATAAAAAATTGTTTTTGAGTGCTTAAAAGGAGCTCATTTCTTGTTGAAAAATCTGCCTACGCGCCCTGTTATATAATAAATATATATAATGGAACCTCAATCGTAAATTGAAACTTCAGTTATTCATGTCAGATAATTTTAAAATTTTATTGGCCTGAAATATTATATAACAGTAAACATGCATTTTATAAAATATGGATTTCTTCTTTTTCATGCTGGCAGCTATGAATTATGCTAACAAATTAAAATAGAGGAAACTTTTTTTTTTTTTAACCACAATAAAGGTTGTGAGCAAACTTTGCCAATTTTATGAATTATAAAGAAATGAGACATAACATTGGAAAGAAAACCTATTTATTTGCTTTGAATCATTTGTACTTTTTTTTCACACGTAATAAAATCTGGTTTTTGTGTCCTCTTAAAAGTTTCCTTAAAATTCTCTAACCCACCATTGAAAGCTTTGCAAGGGTTAGAGGAGCATAATGATTCGTGTATGTGGCATCATCAGGCGAAGTTGACTCTTGGATCATACTTGACCTTCTGTTTACAAATGATTCTTTCATCATCCGGATGTCGAAAGATATACTTTCAAGAGAAAACTCAATTGGCAATGTTTTTTTCCAGCTTCAACCGGGGTTCTTGGAGGAATTCCGCCATTTCGATATAAATGATCGAAGTTTTTCAATTGTAACATCTGAAATGAAAGAATGGTGTTACCTTTACAAGTGAAATGAAAATTTACACTGTTAGAAAAATAACATCAAAACAAGAATTTTAATAAAAAGTTACTAAAATAGTAGCCTTTTGCTCTATTACTAATTTTCCTGCAAAAAATTAGATATTTCATTTAAAGTCTTCAGAAGAAAACAAATAAAAACAAGTTTTCTATTTCTCATGATTCCAAAGAAACTTTTTAAAAAGCAAATATGAAGAGAAAAAAATAACTAATGATAATTTTTTGTATGTAACAAATGCACAGAAAATTTATAATTCTGCTTTTTTTCATACTAAGGTGTATTAGTTCTCCATGTCTGCTGTATTCTAAAGGAAACAGTAGAAAAATACTGCTTTATAATTGTAAATTTATTAAGGATTAACATTTTATTCAAGTTTTCAATGTTAATTTATATACCGGAAATTTTGTGTTGTTAAAACATTTGTTTCACTTCTGATATTTATTTCAAATACTAAAATAATTCAATATCATTGTACCCAAGTAAG